AAAAATTACTCTCGAGAGTTAAAGCTAACACAATTATATTAGTAACAAACAAAAAAAAACATAATAATAACTATCGAGATGAGTTTTACGATTATTTGTTTAAATCGAAATTGAAATTTGTGTATATGCGCATGCACATTCGTTTCCAATTATCTCAGCCACATATGTCACGGAAATATGAAATTTAATAACATATTGCAAATATACTTGAAATATTATCACTTAACTTATCGTGAATATCACAGCTTTTTATTTATATATAAATGTTACATCATTTTTCTCATTCTTACTATTTTTGTAATGACGGATAATGGTATAAGATATATCCTTCAATGACTTAAGATTGTCAAATGTACTTCAATATAAACTATTAATAACATTATAAAAGTATATATATATATAACTAAAAATTTAGAATTATAAGAAAGGAGATTTTATTTAAATTGGGATTTCTTAGATTTCTTATATTGAAATTTAAGAAGAATTGATAAAATTATTATACATAATAATAAATAATACGTTATGTCGTATATATGTTGGTCTACAAACTTCATAAGAATGATAATTCGATGTTTTTATTTATGAAACATATCTATATTAGTCAATTCTATTTTATTAGAAACTAAACTATTATTCATATTTTTATTTATGTTCGTTTTCTGTACACATAGTGCCAATATATATTTATATAAAAAAAAAAAAAAAAAAAAAAAAAAAAAAAAATTAATAACAAATTTGAAAATATTCTCACATAATATATTATTTTATTTCAATATTCATTATTGAAATTGAATCGATCAAATTTCATGCAAATTAGAAATTATTAGTTTTGATATTCAGATAAATAAAATATAACTATCTAATTTCGCGATAAAATTAAAAAGTCCGAGTTATTGATTTTATTCGTAATAATAAAATTGTTTTTGAAAACATGAAAAGTTTTCATAAGTATTATTATTATATAAATATATTGGAAATCAATTTTTTTTTAATTTTTTTTTTTTTTCTTCAATTAAAACATCGATAAACTTTACTTTGTATTTTTATATATGTAATTTCATTAAAGGGTCTGAATAAAAAGTCGTTATTCACGTCGCGAATGACGCTTACTTCGTAAAGGCTGCAATATTTTTAGATTCCTAATATCACTAACAATATACTGCGTTATGTAATTTTCTTTTGAATAAGATCCATGTATTACGAAGAATTATTTTGAATGATAATAAATGAACGTTTTAATATTAAAAGCAAATATTATCTCTTACAATATATTTAGTTATAAATATTTAAAAGGCTAAAAGCTATTGTTTAAGTTAATAATTTTAATTTTTTTTTTAAATTAAAGTCGCTAAAATTTGATTTACTTTCGAAAAATTATTTTGTAATATTTATGTAATAAGTGCTGATACATAATTCTTTATTGTCGACTCTTTTCAATATAAATTAATTTAAATTATTAATTTAAATAATACGTTGGCAAGAAAAAATATGGCAATGTTTAGAAATATTTGACGTCAGAGAGATGATAAAAATATACAGAATTTGTATGGAAATATAATTTTATCGTAGATATTTTGATGAAAAATCTCAGGAATTCTTCCGTAAAATAATCTAGTAATTTAAAAATAAAATTAAAAAAAAAAAAACATGTTCCTTATTATCATATAATACAGCACATAGGAAACATAATTCCTTGATAAAATATAAATTAATTGTATAATTTAATTAACAAAACAAATATTAAAAAAGTTGTTTTTGGCGAATGTTCAAATTGCTTTCAAACTTCAAGAATAAAATCGCGACCACAGAAGTGATAAACTTGAAGGAATAAACTGAAAAACAATAGGCGTTTCCGCAAAAGTTGCTTTATCCACGTACAACGAGAATACCTAACGAATATGAGTTATTACTTTGAAAAACAAAGCCGTTTTTTTTTAATATCTTGAGGCGTTAAAGTAAAAGCATTTATGGGGTATGAAATTCTTAAACGATGACAGACGCCACACGGATAAATCAAAGAATAAAATTAAACAAAAAATAAAATTAATAAAATCGAATGAAGAGTGGTGAGTTCTATAGGCCAAGGACTTGCTTACTAACTAGTGGAATACGGGAGAAGAAGAGACGTTAAAAAGAGTGAAAAGCTAAGATAACAGCTTAGATGCATACGCAATATCAATTACAAAATTACCAAAGTGATTCCCAGAATGCTGTTACCACATGTGGGGCCATCCAAGGAAGCCAATGAAGACGGCGACTTTAGTTATTAACAGAGAAATTAAGTCGTTTACCCTAATTGTATTCGCATTGCACGTGCATCTCCCGACCATTGCCTAATACAATGATTTAACGGTCTCAAGTGGCTACTTACACCAACACCTTTCTACGCATGCTTTTCCAGGAAATTTTAGGGACCATTGCCATCGATACAGCTTCAGCTCTTTGGTGTATTAAATGCGAAAATTGCATAAGTTTACATTTACTACGCTCGTCGTTTTTATATGCCTGCGCTGTTTATAGAAAATATAAAACACCGTGGATATTAAATTCGCTACATGTCCCCCCCCCCCCCCTTCCCCCGACTCGATTTTTAGCACTTTATTCATACTTATTTCACAATAGTATTGGCAGATTTTATAAAAGAGAATAAAGGAATTTTTGTCGCGGGATGTCCCGTTGGTAGATATTTTGCAGGACAAATTAATAATTTTACGAGACTCTGATTCCTCAAACATCGATTAATTTTATGCTTATAAAAGTATAATATGTATGAGATGCAATGATCTATGTAGTTTTATATTATTGGAATTTCAGTAATTGAAGGATAATAGAAAAGGATGGAAAGTATGTCGAAATATTCTAAAAGAGCTTACAATTACAATCTTCTAGATTACGACAATTACTTAAACAAATTTTAATTTATGGCACTCCGTAATGTTCAGACGAGTTTAATGAAAATTTTTGTAAAAAATTAGAGCCTACATTTGTTAAATTTAAGTATGTCAACATTGACATTCATAATTTATTCTGCCTTTATAAAAATAGAAAAAAAATTATATTCAGATATTCTTTAGATAATTTTTATAATTATTAATAATTTATTCATTAAAAAAAAAAAAAAAAAAAAAAAAAAAAAAAAAAAAAAAAAAAAAAAAAAAAATTTATCTTATAATTTAATCTTGCTATTTAGAAAGTAAAGCGGGAAGAAAAAAAATCTTTTTTCAGGCTTTCTGCAAATTTAAAAATATTTCATTTACTATGTATATAAATAAAAATATACAATTCATCATGAGGTTTTTATATAAATGTGTTTTTATTATTGTCACAAAAAAAAGACTTATTTTTCAAACAAAACTCTGCAAACCACAATGAAAAAAATGTCTTTTAATTATAATTAAATGAAAAACGCTCGAAGAAGTTTCGTTTGTAATATTTGTATTACCCTTAAATGTAAATGAAATTATACGAATCTTATGAATTGAAAGTGCGCATATATGCGTGTGAAGAATAGTGCTTACTTATATATTCATTTGCGAATCCATGTATACGCAAAATGTCGCTTTTATTAAAAATTTTTTGTTAATAAATACTGTATATTCGGTTAAATGTATGTCGCCGATTGTGAAATTTCTTAAAAAAAAGTTGAATGACCTAATTTGCCTCAAAATAAGCTACGATGCAATACAAATGCAAAATATAATACCGAATGTACAGAGTCTTGTAATTATTAATAGCAAAATAAAGTTGTTAAATTTTATATTATCGTATAATTGACCAATAATTATTTGAAATTACAGTTAAATATTCGATGAATATACGTAATGAATTTTACAATTATTGTAGAATTTTTAAAATTACATTATTTATAAGCGATACAAACATGGTAAAAAAAAATTATTTTTTTTTTTCATATTAATGATATTAATATATAATGTAATTTAGCGGAGTACACAGTACGTAGTATCATTTATAATAATTACATTTAATGTAGAGAAATGTATGTAGCTGAAAGTGTGCGGCAATATATATGAATAAAGTAACCTAGTAATGTAAATAATTCAAAATGAATATTTTGCAAATATTTTAATCTTAAAATAAATTTATAAATTTGTGTATTAAGAGAAGATATAATAGTTCTGTGTCAACTTTTTAAGATTGTCGTCGTCTCACTTCTCACGCTAAAATAATAAATAAAACGATTCATTTCCCTTCTTACAAGTGCATATCAAAGATAAATAAATCCATATCTATTTTATGACACAGTTTGCAGTGTAAAAATGAATAAATATAAAAAATGTATAGATCCTATAATATTGTCAAATTGCAATTTAAATGAATAAAAATCATTGCAAATACTAAATAAAAGTTTTTCTTGCATCAAAATCCTTCACGATAATTAACCTAATTATTTGAAGAACAATATTACGGATGATTTTTTAAAGTTTACATCCGAGGTGTAATCATCATTTCGTAGTAAAAATCTAAGTGTTGCAATTACAGTTTATGGCTTAGTATCCATGAATAAAAGGTATGTCTGTCTCATTTAGCTATTCATAACAAATGCTCAATCAATAGGATAAAAATAATACTAATATTGCAATATTTCTGGTAGAATAAGCATTAATGAATTCTAAATATCCTGTCTCCATTAGCACGTAATATTTTATAGTTTTCTTCTTTTTTTTTTTTTTTTTTTTTTTTTTTTTTTTTTTTGGCACAGATCCTCGATAAAAATAATAAAAGATATTTTCCGTCAGTATATGCACGTTTCACAGTTGGATTCTCACGGCTCGTCTTTCTTTATTAAAAGAAAAAACTACAGGAGACGAAAGTAACGCAATGCTGTCATATAGTGAAGAAAATAAAATTTGTTTCTACGAAGAGAGAAATCTTTATTCATTTTCTAAGGATTGACGTTCCTTGCGAATAACGAATAATAACAATAACGATGAATTTAATAAAATTTAATAAATTAAATTCAAAAGACAATAACGACTCACCTGTTCCTCGAAAGCCTTGAGCTCATCGAGCAGATCTTTCTCGAGGAATCGGTGCTTCAGTGTTTCAATGTCCCTCTTAAGACTCTCGACGTCCCGGCTGACGGTTAGCACACGTCGTAGTTTCCAGAGCTCGAGGCAGACGCAGCCGACGGCCAGGAGGAGGGCCACGTAGCTGAGAAGGGACTGTCGGCTGCAATATCGGGGACGCGAGGTCCTGTTGAAGCCGCGTTCCAAGTCTGAATTCGAGATACTCAGATTCTCACGGGAGAAGTTGAGAAAGGAGCGGCTCTCGTCCTGCGTTGACCGGCCGCCGCACTTTTGAAGAACAAAAAAATACTAACAATTAATGCATTGAATGAAACAAGAGTCTGGAGCTTTTGTAAGAAAAATTTCGTATTAGTACGTAGTATTTATTAAGGAAGAAATACGGTTTAATTAATGGTATTCCACGTTCATTGATTGGCTATGATGCGAAATATAATTGAGATATTATTATAAATTAAATCGAAAACATTTATTGAAGAGACAATAATATGATGCAAATATTGATTAATTAAGACGAAGTAGAATTCGAATCTTTATATATCACTAAGAACACGGCAAGTAGCATGAAATTTTCAATAGCACCTTATGAGTAAGTTTCAATTAAATTTTCAAGATGATCCCCGACTAAAGACTGTTAAGATAATAAGATCTTAAAGGCTAATAGTTTCGTTCAAGAGCGACTGTTCTACAAGAGATGGTTGAGAATAATTAATTTTTGTTATTTATTGATAATTGTTTGATCCAGATATTTTCCTTTTTTTGTTTTCTTTTTTTTTTTATATATATATATTTTTTACCTCAAAAGCAACGATTTATTATAATAATAATGCTTTAATATATATATATATATATATATATATATACATATATATATATAAATTTAAGGCACAAAAATATTACTATTTAAAATTTTAAGTGATGATTAATTATGGCTTAATTATCTTTATTTATTTTTTATTTTTTTTAATTTAGTAATATCCTCTCATGATAATTATGATCATTTAAATTTAATAAATTCTTCACACTTTAAATCGATATAAAAACTTCATCTATTATCTCTGTACCGAGGTAATAATCATCAATACTACTTAACCAATTAATTGACCTTCTCTATTAATCTCCATTTTTGAATTTTCTAATAAAAAATATAAGCAGATCTTTATAAAAAATACTTTCTTTTTTTCTTTTTTTTTTTTTTTTTTTTTTATAAAGAATTATTAAGAATAATAAATATTATACGTATATGCGTGTATTTCCTATGATTTTTTTTCTTTTTGTCTTTTACAATTAAATCACAAAAATTTTAATATTCTTCAATTAATTAAGAATTAAATAATCTATTGTCATCAATAATTGTCATCAAGAGATAAAATGATTGCTTATTATGATTCTTTTTTTTTTTTTTTTTTTACATTTATGGGCTAATAGTATAAATTTCTATAATACAATAGGTCTTTTCTTATTGTTAGACTTGTATTTTATGGCAGAATATCAAAAATTAAATTATCAATCGAATAACTTCTAATTGAGCATTTAGAAAGATTGCATATTAATAAATATTAATTTACTCTTAAATATAAATTTTTATAATGTCACTACATTCTATTTTAATATAACTACGTAATGAACTTATCGTATTTACATATCTTATTTCTCGCAACGTAAGTTATTTTAACGTTCATAAAATTGAAATATTTCCAAGCAATTTGGTAATTAGAAATAAATTATCATTGTTATGGGTAAAGTATGATATAGAAATTGAGTCTTCAAGAAAGGAATTAAAAATTTTTACTTACACCGTGTAATGGTGATTTTTGCTTCAGTCGGGTCACGTTACTCTCTTCCTCCGGAAGTACCGAAGTCATTCTTACATTAAATTTACTTCACTTGTTTTAATTACAAATGTACTTCTATGCAATCATCGGTCGAATCTTATGTGGATTCTAATAAAAATTGATGGTAAAACAAAAATCTTTTTTATTTATTAACTTCAATAATTATTGACATGCCTATTTTAATTATTAATATTTAAACTCTCAACGTAATTTAATTTTTTTATATTCAAAACGGTTTTTATGTATTAATTTATTACTTAAACAAGGCATTCACCAAAACTTCAAACTCTAAAAATATGTATTTCGTAAAATAATTCAGGATTTTGTAAGTACCAACTAATTAACAAATTTATATTTATGTATAATTTATAATTATTTCAATTTCACATTAAATTATTATTAGTTATAAATAGCTACTATTTATATCTAAATTTAAAGTAAATTAAATTTAATCTGATTAACTGATAGGATTAAACATCGTTAACAATTCATTAAGGAGTAATAATTAACTTATACTTTCATTTTGTACAAATTTATAGACAATTTATGAAAGTGAAAATGTATTTTAAGTATTAAGCCTCTGCTCGTTTATAGATTATTTATAATTTTTACAACTCGAGTACCGAGCAATTTTTTGTTTTCTTGTTAATTGAATTATCTAAATGAACAATAATTTTTTTTCTGTTTCCTTTTTGACGGATTTTTCTGTATTAAATATACTCATGAAATACCATTACATTCACTATTACTTAGGCATTTATATGTAATTTTATACTTAATGTACATAAATAAACATTTATAATAAATTCTATCAGAGTAATAAAAACTGCACTATTTTTAGTAAATTGTTCCACAAAGCGATTACTAAATTGCTTTTAATGTAAGGTAAAATTAATGAATGCATGTATTTTATAAAAATACATCAATGTCCTATATAAAAAGAAATATATTAATGGAAATAAGAAATAAGAATTTTTATTAATGCGTGAAATATATAACGTATTCAAAGAATTATAGTACGTACTCTGCAAGAAAATGTTACATTAAATAAAAATTCGATATTTTTCTGTTTTTCATAGAAAAAGGACAATTGATCAGAAGAATTGATTAACAGTACAAAAACAAAATTAAATTTACATATTTCTTTTAAAGTTAGCGACGATTCCTTATATTTCTTTTTCCATTAATCATCATACACACTTGTATGTATACACACATGATGTTAATCCTCGCTTCCCTGTTTATAATTTTAATTTTTTTTTTTTTTTTTTTTTTTTTTTTTTTTTTTTTTTTAATGAACAATTCTCAACTCTTTTCAATATTTTTTCCTTACTTTTCTTTTATCTTACTCAATACAAATATTATTATTATTATTATATTTGTATTTACAGAGGAATTACTACTTTCCACTTTGAATAATGATTATAAATTTATCCCAATAGGATAAAAATAAAATTGGAATTTTTATATAAAGAGAAATAAAAGATATGCGAATAATTGATTTTCCAATAATTCATATACCAATATAGAAAATTGAGATACAAATTCTTATTAAAAAGTAAAAAATTTGTTGAAAACTAATTTGGTTGAGAAGATTTTGAAAATTATCTAACGAATTCTACCTAACGTAAGTATAAAAAATTAAAATTGGCTTATCCTTTCTCGAGATCAGAGCGCGCGCATTCACGATTATATGAATAGTTAACTACTTACACATACATAAGCGCACGTACACTTCAAAGAAGTTGATTTACATAAATGATAATGCAAATGTACAAAATTTATGATTATACATCCGTGTTATATGGTTTTAAAGATTTGTGTCTCTGATGTAAACTCAGCACGTATTATTATTATTGAAAAACCTTAGAAACCCGAGCGTTATAAAAGCATCAAAACCATTCGTAATTGCTCTTGAATGTATGAACATTCATAATTTTACCGTATAATATTCAAGTAAATTGTTCCGAATATTTGAAATTGTATGAATTTTGTTTGTCTATTGACAATCTTTACTTGCATACTTTATCAATTGCCTCAATGTATAATGCACCTGGGTCCAACGAACCTCTTGGCAATTGGCCTTCGCGAGTATGCGATTTTTTCTTCTCCATTTTCCCAAGTAAAAATTAATTCAGTCAGCCATGATTGCTTTCGTCAAGTAAAAATAAACTAGTTTACTTTTAGAACTGACAGTATTCAGAGAGATTCGTAGACGTAATATCCAATTATATCTCGTCTAAAATTTTGCTAAGTTTTAATTTTGCATAGTCCAAAACAAATACGTCTTTATACTGCGATATTAACAATTAATAATTATTAATTATTATTTAGGAATGAATTCTCATTTGTTTGGCATAAATAGATTGCAAACTTTTGAAAAGATGCACGTTGTGAATTGAAAACATGCTAATGAAAATGTAATTATAAACTTGGCAAACAGCATGTAAAATATGATTCCCTATATGAACATAGTAATAAACATTTGTAAAAAACTATAATAAAAAATAATCAGCACTGATACATTGTCGGATTATACAATAAAAGCGTATTCGATAATTTTATAATGGGTGTGAATATTAAATATGTAACGGCACTTTTACAATCAAATAAATTTTTATATCAATAAAAATGCTATGTAACTGAATTTCATAATGAATTTCATATGTTGGATTAAAAATTAGAACAGAAGCATTATGATAAGAGATTAGCTTTGTCAAGAATGGATTACGGATTGGTGCATATTAGATATTTTAAATTTTTATGAGACATCATATGAAATTCTATTCATCAAGTTATTTGAATTATTGAATAATCACTCGAAATAAATTCCTCGTCATTCGAAGGATTTTAACTTCAATTATTAATCGAATTACTGTATTCGTTAAAACATTCGATCAACTAATGTGGTATTACAGTTATTAAGTGATATTAAGAGATAGGTGAACCTTCGTACGTATATCGTTATCTGAAAACATTGTTACATATGACATTGCCGAGTCTTCGACCTGACAATTACCAAATTCCTATCCAATGCCTCAAGATCGTTTTAATTCAAATAATCAACAAACAATCCGAACGATGCAATTTCCTCGTCTAAACACTATCGTCTGAAAATATAAAAATGTTATTCACTTTTTAGAACCACGCGGCAATGGCTTGCTCGAATGGCCTACAATCTCAATATAAGATAAGACGTCGTAAAGAACCGGCTAAGACCACGAATAAGTATCTGAACTTACGCACATTTTAATAAGCCCAGGAGGCAATTAATCCAGTGACCCGCTCGATTTAAAAAAAAAAGAAGAAGAAAAAAAAAATAAAAAATATGCCACTAGTAAACACCCTCCTCCCAATCAAGTTCCTCGCTCGCCTTTGAAACTATAAAAGTCACTGCTTTACAAGCGAAATTTACGAGGAAAGCGGCGGCACGCGCGCTGGGCAATACATAAAAACAAACAAACAAACAAACAAACAATGATTTAACGGCAAGTTCGTCCGACCTGACGTTCGCGGCTCTTCCCAGCGAACTGATGCTACGGACTCATCGGGACATCTTCCCCCCCCCCCCC